ACAAGGATAGCTCCAGCAGATTTACGAATGGGGAGAGAAGACTCCACACCAGATTAAAGCTCGTCTTCCTGGACCTTGGGGGAAGGGTGAAACAGCATCAGGAACATCAATGCCTGACACAAGACTCCTCTTTGCAAGAGAAGCAGTTTATGTCGGGGAGGAACTTTGGTGTTGAAACCATGGGAATGGCCCTGCGTGGTCGATGTGATTTCAGGTCCCATGACATACAAAGTTCAGGTAGGAAATGCGGTCTTGAACAAGCATGTAGACCACATGAAAGCTACAATCTTTCACAATGGGGCAGGAGCAAAACATACCCTGTACCTCAGAACATCTGGCTGTCAGAAACTGTGGGCTTTCCCACCGCAACCACCCCCCGACAAAGCCTAGCATCAAAGAAACCTCTGAGGACAAGATAGACATGACAGATGTTGCAGTCTCGACACCATTACTGCCTGAAGAAGAAAATGAATTTTTTCTGAGATGGTCAAGAGGTGGGCTATGGTCCAGTATATGCTGCCAGTATCTGAGCCAGAGTCGGAGGAACCAGACCTGGTGTGAAAATGCCCCAAGTGAAGTTACAGGAAAAATAATGGGTCTATGATCCTGGACTTAGAGGGGGAAACAGTGATTGGAATGATGTCAGCCAGGTAGACCTCATAGAATGAGTTCCCTGATTAGGGCTGTTAACCTGGTCCAGTCAGGGAGTCCTGGCTGACAGATGTAAACAGGAGTGTCAGGGGTTCTGTTCACTCGAGGAGCGGAGTCAGTGTCATAGACTACTGTATGTGTAAATAAAGGGTGACTTGGTGGCAGGATACCGGCCTTCATGGAGTTATTTCAGTTTTCACTGACTTTTATGCTCATTATTATCTCTTTTTGAGATTAACACAAATCTTCCAGCACAGATTTACCCTTTAGGTCTCTATTCAACTAGCCATAATAAACCTTTCACAACTTGGTTTGATATGCAATGAATAACTGAAAATTATTTTTTCTTTTAAAACATTTGTATCCTTTAAAAAAATAAACTAAACCAGACTTCTGTGAATTTGTTTAACAAATTAGTACAATAACTAGACTCCACAAAACTAACTTTTAAAGTGTTATTGCATGAGATACTATTGACAATGTTTATAGGCTGTATTTTGTTGACTCTCAACAGTATATAAAATTTAGATGACCAATTATGAGGATTTCATATGTTACTCACCCATCTCTGTTTTCCCACTAACTATTGTGGCACAGTATAATTTATTTATTATGAGAACTGGCAATGGTCTGTGTAACGTTTATCTGTATTCTTCTTGTTTTACAAGAAAAAAATGAGTGAGTTGCCAACAATGAATCATTCATGAAGAAATATTTGGAAAGAACTTCTTGCTTAATATTACTTCTGCAAATGACTTCTATCTAACATTTGGCATTATATATTCCTGCACAGTTCAGTAAAACTGAACTTAAAACTAAAGCATCAGAAAAAAAATACTTCTGCTTTAAACCTTTGTTGAAAGATGAATGACTGTTTGTTTACTTTCTTACTGAGAATGCCACTGGTTAGCTGAATGTTTCTGTATTATTTAACACACTTGCACCATAAGTTGCAACTTAGAGTGTCTACACATGCATAAGGACAATAAAATAGCTCAGAGACAAATTAACCAATAGGAAAACAAAAGCAAAATACCGTGGATGCTGGAAATCTGTAAAATGCTGTAACTATCCAGCAGGCCAGGCAGCTTCTGTGAACACAGAAACAGGGTTTTGGGTTGTTTCAGGTCTAATGAAAGTCATTGACTGAAAGGTTAACCCTGAATCTCTCTCCATGGATGCTCTCACAGAAATACAGAACTTTATGGTGTAGAAGGAGGCCATTTGGCTCATTGTGCCTGCATTGGTTCTGTTACCTAGTACCAATCTCCTGACTTTTCCCCTACATCCCTGTAAACCATTTCAATCCAAGTCATCACCCAATTCCTTCTTGAATGCCTCAGTTGGACTTACCTCCTCCACATTTCCAGGCAATGATTCCATATCCTACTTCTTTGTTGCATGAAGACGTTTTCTTTATGTCACCCTTGCTTTGTTTGCACTTCATTTTAATTGTATGCCCTCTTTTTTTCTGTTTTACAAATAGGAGCAGCCTCTCCTTAATTACTGCATCCACCCACTCATGATTTTGTAAACCTCTATAAAATTTCCTCTCAGCCTTCTTCTTTCCAAGGAGAACAGTCCTAACTTCTTCACTATATCCTCAGAACTGAAGTTTTTCATTCCTGAAACTATTCTTGTAAACCTCTTCTGCATTCACATATTCCTATAATGTGGCACCCAGAATTGTATACAATACTTCTGCTGAGGTCTAACAAATGTGTAAAAATTCAACATCACCTCACTGCTTTTGTATTCTACACCTCTATAGTTAATCAACCTGAAAACACTGTTTGCTTTATTAACGGCTGTCACTACCTGTCTGTCATCTTTAATGTGCATACATACACCCAGGTTTCTCTGCCTCTGCACCCCTTTTAGAATTTTACCCCCTATTTTATATTGTTTTTCAATGTTCTCCTGACCTCACACTTCTCTGCTTTGAACGAACTTTTGGAGTTCAACACTGTCCTCCGCACAGATTACAATTCTTCCAAGCTGAGTGTTGTTTGAAAACTTTGAAATTTTCCTTTGTACATCAAGATCCAGATCATTTAATATAAATCAGAAAAACCCTTCCTCCAGCCCAAAAAATATCCATTGACCATTACTCTCTATTTCCTATCACTCAGCCAATCTTCATGGCTACTATCCCTTTTATACCATGATTGAGAACTTTCTTTACCACTCCATTGTTTGGCAGTGTATCAAACGTCTTCCGCAAAATCAGCAATTCTGGCAGCATCAGTGGAGAGAAATTAGAATTAACATTTCGGGTTCAGTGACCCCAGTTCTGAAGAAGGGTCACTGAACCTGAAACATTAACTCCACTTTCTCTCCACAGATGCTGCTAGACCTGCTGAGTTTTTATAACAATTTCAGTTTTTGTTTCTGATTTCCAGCATCTACAGTTCTTTGGGTTATTTTTGTCTTCTGCAAATCCATGCATACCACATCAACATTATTTCACTGATTGAGCCTTGCTCACCTGCTGAATATTTTCATAATTTTATGTTGTTAAACAGAAAAATAAATGAATGTATAATACAGAACTGCACCCATGATACCACTTGTTGTCTAAATTTTTAATTATTGTTCAGATTGGAGTTCTGGATTTACACATTTTAGTGTTTAGCTTAAATAGGCAAGAAAATAGACATGAAATGGCAGCTTTATTAAGGAATTGCGGTCTGGATTTGGTGTTCTCTAAGGGTCAATATCCCCTGTCCCTACCATTGAGAAAGCACGCTATATCAAGCATTAATCAAAGACTTACATGTTGTCAGGCAGGCTTCTTGGCCTCTTTGGAACTCACTGCAAAAGTCTTGCATCTGCCTGAAGTTGCCAGTTAGTCAGAGGCTAACAGCCGCTGAGAGCTGGAGAGCAATGCTGGAGATCTAGGCTGTGCAACCTTGAAGAGCTGCACTAACAAAAAGGTAACTTTTTTTGTTGGGCTGTGGGTTGTGGGGAGAGAGGGTGGTTCGAGAGTTGGTGTGGTTGGAGGCAAGGGCCTGGGGTGGCTTTGAGTCACTGACACTTGCCCTCCTTTCCAATGTCATCAATTGTTCCCAGGTTAGGCTAAATGGAGACCCTTCCCAACCCAGCCAGCAGTGCACACTGGTTTCCCTATCAGAAAAGCAGCCACTTCTCCCTTACTCCGAGCAGGCAGGTAATCAGGTCAGTGGCAGGTTTGAGACCCTTAATTGGCCATTAATTAACCACTTAAGGGCCTTAATTAGTAGTCCGACACCTTTGAATTTTCCTACCCAGAACTTGATTAGCAGGAAAGGGAGGTATCTTTTCAGTGCCAACTATTTGCCCTTCCTGCCTTCTGCCCTGCCATCTTTAGGGAGGGAAGTCCCATTCATAGTTGTGATTGTTCAGATAAGTTATTCAAATTGAAGGGTATTGAAATATGATTAACTTTTTGTGTCATTGAAATGTGATTATTTATCTCCCTTAAATAATTGTACGGTATCTTTAACTGCTGAATTACAATCAATGATCTTAACCTTGTTAACTATTAATAGTTTATTAATTGTATGATTTAACAATTGATTAAAGAAAGATCATACCTAATTCCAGACAAACAAGATCACAGTAATCTGTGTAAGATACTGGCTGAAACTAGACAGTGAGCCAATGGGTATTGGTTGATGCAAGAATATATTTGCACAGCAGTTCCTTAAGTAAAGGGCTATAAGTGAAAGAGTGCATGTAAAGCAGATTTGAACGTGACATAACAGTGCACTGGAGTTGTCTAAATATTCAGATCTAGTGCTTTAATATAGTGTCCATATCTGATTCTAGCAATGTTACCACCATGTTCCTCATTAGTGTAGTGGTTAGTGGCCCTGTCTGTTATGTAGGAGACTGGGGTTCAATTCCCCAATAAGTAGATTACTTTGATAGTCACCCTGTGTTTTTGTGGGGTGACATGGTGCTTCGGTGGTTAACCGTGCCAGGGACCTGGGTTCAATTCCAGCTTTGGGTGACTGTCTGTCTGTATGGGTTTCCTACCACAGGCCAAAGATGTGCAGGTTAGGTGGGATAGCCATTGTAAAATGTGGGGATATGGAGATAGAGTGGACACTTTTCAGAGGGTTGGTGTAGACCAGATGGGCTGAATGGCTTCTTTCTGCACTACAGGGTTTGTATAATTCTAAGTCTAGTTATATGCAATTAGTACTGCCAAGCTGAATCATTAGTGTAAGTTAGGGCTGAGCAAGTAAAGCTAAAACAACACGCAACTAATATATGTATCAAATCAAATTATTCAGCATATTTACCCAACACAAAATTTTAAGCATGTTCTTTTAAAATAATGAATGGTGGGCTTAACAACTCACTGCAGCTTTCGGTAGCCTCTCAAAGTCTTTTTTAAACATTTCCAGTTCTTCTTGCAAACTGAAAACAAAACAGAATTCATGTTCAATCTGTTGAAGTAACAAATATTGATCACAAGAAAGAAATATAATCTACACTTAATTCAAGGTCCTGTAATTTAAAATATCTGCCACTGGTACTAATTTTTATTTTGCTCTTTTACCAATGTTGTTTAACTCAAATTATTCAGTAAAGCAATTTCTAGTGTAAAAATTGATTTTGATTGAACAAAAATAGCCTTAAGTGGCTGGATAATCAGACTACAGGACAAAATTTTCAAACATGACATTCTCCATGCTTATAAGCTAAGGCAGAAATTTATTCTTTATTCATTCACGGGTTGTGGGCATCACTGGCGTCACATTTATTGCCCAGAGGGCAGTTAAGAGTCAACAATGTTACTGTGGGTCTGGAGGCACATGTAGGCCAGACCAGGTAAGGATGGCAGTTCCCTTCCCTAAAGGACATTAGTGAACCAGATGGGTTTTTCCCTGACAATCAGCAATAGATTCACAGTCATCATTAGATTCTTAATTCCAGATATTTATTGAATTCAAATTCCACCATCTGCCGTGGTGGGATTCAAACCCAGATCCCCAGAACATTGTCTGAGTCTCTGGATTAACCGTCCAGCAATAATACCACTAGACCATCACCTCCTTCGTTGGTCCCAAAAGGCCCCAAATTCCCTTTGGTGCATTTTCAGGGCCAAAATGTTGTAAGTATGCACCAAAAATCAATAGTTAAAACCTCAAACAAAATTGGATGTTGGGTATCATTTTATTAATAGAGGCCAGTTACTGTCAATGCCAAGCCTCCTGAGGCAGTATCTGTGCAATTGTTATGGTACTGGACTATTAACCCGGGAGTTATAAGTTTGAATTGTACCATACTATCATTTTTAAAATACATAAATTCTAATGAATTTTGTACAAATATAAGTGGTTTATGAACACCCTTCAAGGAAGGGAACCCCTCGACCCAATCTACATGTGGCTCCACTCCTATATGTCCTGAACAGTCTAGATTATGGAATACAGAAAAATAAGGAGAAAGGGAAGTATGCTATTTAGCCAGAGATAGTAGGAACTGCAGATGCTGGAGAATCCGAGACAACAAGGTGCAGGGCTGGATGAACACAGCAGGCCAAGCAGCATCATAGGAACAGAAAGGCTGACGTTTCAGGCCTAGACCCTTCATCAGAAAAGGGGGAGGGGAAGGGGGTTCTGAAATAAATAGGGAGAGAGTGGGAGGCGGATAGAAGAGGGATAGAGGAGAGGATAGGTGGAGAGGAAACAAACAGGTCGAAGAAGCGGGGATGCAGCCAGTAAAGGTGAGTGTAGGTAGGGAGTTAGGAAGGGGATAGGTCAGTCCAGGGAGGACGGACAGGTCAAGGGGGCAGGATGAGGTTGGTCGGTAGGAGATGGAGGTGTGGCTTGAGGTGGGAGGAGGGGATAGGTGGGAGGAAGAACAGGTTAGGGAGGCAGGAACGAGCTGGACTGGTTTTGGGATGCGGTAGGGGGAGGGGAGATTTTGAAACTTGTGAAATCCACATTGATACCATTGGGCTGCAGGGTTCCCAAGCGGAATATGAGTTGCTGTTCCTGCAACCGTTGGGTGGCATCGTTGTGGCACTGCAGGAGGCCCAGGATGGACATGTCGTCTGAGGAATGGGAGGGGGAGTTGAAATGGTTCGCGACTGGGAGGTGCAGTTGTTTGTTTTCACAAGTTTCAAAATCTCCCCTCCCCCTACCACATCCCAAAACCAGTCCAGCTCGTCCCTGCCTCCCTAACCTGTTCTTCCTCCCACCTATCCCCTCCTCCCACCTCAAGCCACACCTCCATCTCCTACCGACCAACCTCATCCCGCCCCCTTGACCTGTCCGTCCTCCCTGGACTGACCTATCCCCTTCCTAACTCCCTACCTACACTCACCTTTACTGGCTCCATCCCCACCTCTTCGACCTGTTTGTTTCCTCTCCACCTATCCTCTCCTCTATCCCTCTTCTATCCGCCTCCCACTCTCTCCCTATTTATTTCAGAACCCCCTTCCCCTCCCCCTTTTCTGATGAAGGGTCTAGGCCCGAAACGTCAGCCTTTCTGTTCTTATGATGCTGCTTGGCCTGCACTATGCTATTTAGCCTATGAGCTTGCACTGCCTTTTAGGAGGTTCTTGGCCAATTCTTTTCCTCAACATCACCTTGCTGCAATATCGTAGAATCCCTACAGTGTGGAAACAGGCCATTTGGCCCACAGAATCCACACTGACCCTCCAAAGAGCATCCCACTCCCATCCTATCCTTGTAATTCCCTGGACACTAGGGGCAATTTAGCATGGCCAATCCACCTAACCTGCACATTTTTGGACTGTGGGAGGAAACCGAAGCACCTGCAATAAACCCATGCAGACACAGGGTGAACGTGCAAACTCTGCACAGACAGTCGCCACATGTTGGAATCAAACTCAGGTCCCTGGCACTGTGAGGTAGCAGTGCTAACTACTGAGCCACTGTGCTCATCTCTTGTTCTGATTTTGAAACATTATTTCAATTTTGATTTGCCTTTTTAAAATGAATTCACTGGATGTTGGTGGTGCTGCCTGGGCCAGCATTTATTGTCCATCCCTAGTTGCCCTTGAGAAGGTGGTTTTAACTGCCTTTTTGAACTGCTACTGTTGATTTGGTGTAGGTACGCCCATACTGCTATTAAGGAACGAGTTAAGAAGTTAATAAGTAATTCTGAGCAGATTCACATAAGAAAGGGATTGTTTTGCATCGCCCAATCAGTAAAGAGCGTGGTTAATATGAATGGACACATCGTCTGAGTAAGACAAAAGCTGATTGAATGAAACTGCGAATTTGGCTCAAAGTGGGAATTTAGTGCAAAAAGGACAGACGTGCTTTAACTGAGGATTACTACAAGAAGTAAACTGTCCAGAGGTGAGAGGTGAGTGGGACAGGATAAAAGGTGCAGTTTGAGAAGCCGACCTGCAATGAAACCTGCAATGGAGTGACATCGTGAAGAACACAAGAAAGCAGCTGATTTCCCACAACTAACAGGACCAACTTTATATATATAAAATCCCATGTAAGGACTGTCACAAACACTACATCAGACAGACCTGGAGAAAACTAACTATCAGGGTACATGAGCACCAACTAGCTACCAAAAGACCCGACCAACTATCACTCATTTCCATACGCTCGGACAAAGAAGGCCACCAATTCAACTGGGACAGTGTCACCATCCTAGGAAAGCCAACCAAAGACATGCGTGGGAATTTCTAGAGGCCTGCTACTCAACCTGGAACATCAACAAACATGTGGAAATAGACCCCATATACCAACTACTACAAAGCAGAACTGGAAATGAGGCCAACCGCCACATTAAACCAGATCACATAAATAACAAGTGGGACAGATCAACAATGCGGAGGCACACTGATGTTACCTAATATGGTGACGAAATATCTGCAAACCAACCTACCAGCTCGGCGAACAAATCAGCAAATGCATCCTCAATCCGACCTACAAGTCTTCTCAAAAACTTTAAAGCAGCTGATTGCTGAGTCAGACAGGTGAATATTTCCAGTCTTTAAAGTAAAAGTAATGTCTTCAGTTTGTGTTTAGATCTCTCGTGTTTTTCTTTTGTCTTAGAAAATGCTGGTTAACAATAAGATTGATACTTTATTGATAAAAACACAATAAAATGTAAAGAGCAGAGAATATAGAGCAACTAATTTATAAATTGAATTGAGTGATAGCAGGGCAGATGGTATGTTGCTACTTCAGCATGTGTATGCTGCTGGACACCAAGGTAATCCAGAGTGAATGCAGCTATGGTACATTTTTGCAGCTCAAGGAACTTCATATCCAAGTTGAGGAGTTGATGTCCAAGCTGCAGACATTGCACCTTATCAAGGAACAGGAAAGTTATCTGCCCAGTCACACCCCACTGACTAGGTCATTCAAATTTGGTCAGTGATCAGGGACAAGAGGACCGCAAGCAAGGATGTTATGGGGACCTCGAAGCTTTAGGAGGAGCCTTATCCCCGGCAATTCTCCCACCAGTTACGAGGTTCTTGCAAGCTCTGAGGATGAGAGTGGCGACTGCAGGAAAGAAGAGCAAACTGACCATGGAATCATGTAACAAGGAGCAATTTGGGTTGAGGGAGAAAACTAGAATCTAATAAAATAGGGGACAGTACAATTGGGTGGATAGATATAGTTCTTTGTAGCCGTGAGCATGCGTCTTGAAGGCTGCATTGCCTGCCCAGTGCCAAGGTTAAGGACATTCCCTCAGGGTTGGAGTGGAGCTTCATCTGGGAAGAAAAGGATGTAACTGTTGTCATCCACGTTGGTATTAATAACTTTGATTAAAAAAAAGGAAGTTCTGAAAGAATTTGAAGAGTTAGGAGCTAAATTATAAAGCAGAACTTCTAAGGTAATAATCTCTGAATTACATGGTAAACTGGCAAAGAGTAAATAAAATCAATGAGTTAAATATGTAGCTCAAAGTTTTATGCAGGTGGAATGGGTTTCAGTTCATGAGGCACTAGCATTAGTATTGGGGTAGAAGGGAGCTGTTCTGGAGGGACTGGCTTCACTTGAAGCAAGCTGCGACTAGTGTCCTTGCGAATTGATTAACTAGGTCTGATGAGACAGCTTTCAAATAATTAGAAAGGGGGACGTTGGGTAGGTTTACAAAGCAAAAAGATAGGGTAGCATTTCAGGACAGCATTTTGGATAATGATACCCACAGTGAGACAGGAAGGGACAGAGTGTACAAACATAGAAAAACAGTGACAAATAAGGTCAAAGGGAGGAAAAAGGGTTAAATTGATGGCTCTTTACTTGAATGCATGTAGTATTTAGAAAAAAATAAATCAAGTAATGGCATAAAAAGAGGTTAATGGGTATGATCTTATAGCCATCACAGAGACACGGTGACATAAACATCAAAGCTAGAAACTAAATATTCAAGCCTATGTCACTTTTCAAAACGACAGGCAAGAAGGAAAG